AAAGGTCTTGATGTGTGTAACATCGGGATGAGCTTATATCTTTAAAAATGTCAATCGTTCACAAGATACAAGATCATTTCTTAATTATGTATCCAGAGATAGAGTATTTTCGAATGCAGCCTAAATACTTATCATAATAAATTGACTATCAGTGAGAACGATATGAAACCTTGAAAAGGCGCAAATTCAAATCAAGACCTTTGCAATGACATTAAATTTCACTAAAAAAAACGATTTTATCATATGACTGTCCTGGAAACAAAATTATTCTTATTCTCTTAATAATATAGATTATGACCAAAATTCCTTAAAATTGCGATAAAAGACCGGTTGCAACTGTTTTCTAGAGAAATTTTCCTTAATAGTCTGATTAAAAAAAAAAAAAAAAAAAATAAGAACCATTATTTATTTGCGTCACAGCGATAAAAGTAAGAAAAAAAACAATAATAAGTATACGCATATTTATGTGCGTACATAGATGGAAAATGTAGAAGTAGTTAAGCCGTAAATCAAGTTCTACTTGGTTATCAAGTTGTTAAAACACCTCCTGACACTGCATGGAGCTTATTTCACGGTCGAGCTGCTCGTGAATGACAAACTTAACATAACAAGACGAGTGGTACATACGAGAGTATATAGGGCATTCTAACGGCAAGAGCTTCTCGATTCACGCCCACAATGTCGTTACACTCGCATGCTGTAATATTTATTATTATCGCACTACCTGGTAAATTACTCCTATTTATCTGTCAACATTTTCATTATTTTATTAAATCACTCTCTTATCCTCATCTCCATTTTCGTGACTCTCAGTTTCGTTAAATCACCAAGCCATTACAATTACAACGAACGTTCGGCAATTTAAGTAAATTCACACAACCATTTTCCTTCTCGCATTTCTGTTTTATTAAATCGCTGTACCATTACTTTTTTTTTTTAAATATAATAATCATCACTTGTTAAAATGATTTTTTTAGCATACGGATCGGGTTACAGTGCATTTAGCGGACGCCGAGCTGCTGAATGTAAGTTTTGAGTATCTTATTATATGCCTTATAATAAATTTTATTACTGGTTGATTATATTTAAATTTAAAAATTATCGTCAATATTTTAGATGAAAATTCAATTTGTGAGCCGAATAAAAAACATTTAGACTTGGATGGTTGCGCTGAGTGCATTTGTAAGAGCCACGGATATGGCAGTTTGTGCGAACAAGTTACATGTTCTAAAACTTTCAAAAGACCGATTCGTAAGTTTATTTTTATTATTAAAATTTATTTATGAATAAATATATCATTTTTTTATGAAGCTTTGACTCCATAGCTATTAAACAATGAATAAAAAAAAATAAAAATATTAAAATCTAATATGTTAAAATTTATTTTTCAAAAAAAAAAATAAATTTTTTATTTTCAATAGTCAAATTTTATTATTTTAATTATAAACTAGCACTATGTGACTGCCGTAACTTGTAAACGATAAATAAATAAAATTTAGCTTTATTAAATAATGACTTTTGTTAAATTACACTGTACGTTCTTAACTATTGACATTTTTAAAGACATAAGCTCATTCCGATGTTACTCTCATTAAGAGCTTTCATTTGAGTACCCACATGCATTTTGATATATTTTTCATATATACATATATAT